TTTTGCGTTAAGCAGACGCCGAGGTGGGGCGTTTATTGCACCCAAAATGCCTTGGTTCCTTGCTGGGCGATGAGTCGTGTGTGTGTGGGCGTGTCATACACATGGCGCTCTCTCTCTCTATCTCTTGGCGGCAGCTAAAGGCCTCTCTGCTGCTGGATGAGCTGAGTCGGCACGACGCTTGTCCCTGACGGTGCCCGATTGCGCTCGCAGCTTGTCCGCTGGTCGCCAGTGCCGACACCCTTCCTCGGTCGCGCTGGTCACGCACTATCTCTCTTTCTCCGTGCTTTCTTCTCCACTGCTGAATGATTCCGAGCCGGCACAACGCTCATCCTTGATGGCGCCCGATTGCACTCGCAGCTCGTCCGCTGGTCGCCAGTGCCGACACCCTTCCTAGGTTGCGCCGGTCACGCTTTCTCCCTTGCACTATGCACGGTTGATCCTTGTAGACGCGACCTTTGCAGGAGTGTGCTCGGCTTCCGAGTCCACACACTCGTGGGCAGTCGTTAGCCGCTGCTGGCCCTGTGCGATGCTCGCTTGGTCGATACTTGGCGCTTTCCGCCCTTTCTCCAGGTTGCTTGCTTGTCATTGCTCGTTACTCTTTCTCTCCCTTTCTCTTCTACTGCAGCTGCTGGTGGGAGCTGGCACTCAATGTAAAATAAAACTTTTAGCGATACTTCGTCTGTCAGCGCTGAACTCACACTCGGTGACAAATCACTACTCTGCAAACCTCGCCGTCCTTGGTCGATTGCGGGGCCCACCCCCGGAGCTTGCCGCAGCAAGACTAAAACGTGTGTGCTGTATTCTTGCTTATATCTGAAATTCCCCCACCTCGGCTCCCCTTCTCACAAAGGACCGGAATTCCTTTGATTTCGCACTCAGCCTGTGGGAGCAACTGTTTGTCCGATGTACGTGTGTGTGTCCGTTATCATGTATTGAAGTAGTCTGTTAAGTCACATCAAGGCCTGGTTCCTGTCTCCTTCCTCAAGCCATCTCGCCATCTGTGGAAACAGATGCTTTCAATTTCCCATAAGTGTGTTTTTCTAGCTTTTAAACTTTCTGCAATAATTAATCTGGAAGGAGGGGGTGGGTTCCTTTTGTCCGGTTGCATCCCTCCCTCTTCCCTCACGGTTGGCGGTGTTACATTTTCTTGTCTCTCACAAAGAGGGGTGCCGTCTCTTGAAGTATGACCTCCTGTTACCATGTTCTCCGTTCACTCTTACGGGTTGTAAATTGAGAGAAAATAAATATTATTTTCCACCCCTTATCTTAGTCTTGTATCCCTTTTGCGGTTTTGACTCTGTAAGTGGATCAAAGGTATGTTTTGAAGATCTGTGGCCCCTGCTGTTTGTAAGTGTTTACAGTACTTCCGTCGTGGTTTGGAATTTCTTCATTGTGTTTGATATCTCAAGGGGAGGCGCCCTCCCTGTATGTGTCATTTATTGCTACCACGTACTTCTGGAAGACAAAGGAGGTTGGGAGGCTCTGATTTTATGGAATACATATTATCTTGGTCGTGTGTGATTTATCTGTTTCGCATTGTATTTCTTATGGATGACCCTCAGTCTAATACTTCATAAGTATTATTTGGTTTATGTTTAAACAAGATTTGTGATCTACCATAGTTGTTACCACAGGTATTCCAAGGGTTTTATTAACTTGTTCTCCGTCTGTGTCGCCAGGGATCCGTGCTTCTTATTCATTATTTGGTTCTTTCGGTAAAGTCGCTTAGATAGAAGAAAAATAATAAATAAAGGTGAATAATATTAATATAATAATATACGAGAAATAATAACCCACTAATGTAGATTGTAGCCTGGTTCTTAATCTGAGTGCAGTCTATAATGGCGACTTTTTCTAATAGCCAAGCTTCGAACTTTTACCGTTGTACTAAAATAAACAAAAACAGTTTTCTGTTCAATCGCCCCTCCTGTTCTCACCATTCGGGAAGATCCGTGGCCCCTACTGTTTGTAAGTGCTTTGTGGCGGCCTTTGAAGCCCGGTAGAGGCAGGAGAGGCAAAAGGGGGGGAGGGAACCCCTTTTCGCGCCCCCGCGCTACACCCCGATCAATTATTACAACAAAAAAATAGGCAGACTCATTCTTAATATACATTTTTGGAAAAAGCCTCTTTATACAACATTTGCATCGTGCGTTTTTGGATGTGCTTGTGTCCATCTGGAACACGCTTCCTTCTGATATGAGGAAGTCACTGGCGCTATGCACTTTTACATCGAGATTGAAATCTCACTTTTTTCAAACTGCTTTTTGTATTTAGTTTGTTGTCCTTCCACCGTACCTTCGATAAGCGCAGTGGTTATGTACGGTGCGAATGAACTTCAATGTACAAACATTGTTAGATTCGTGAAAATTGTTTAATGTGGAATCAATGATACAAGTATTATAATGACGTTTTTGTACACACACAGAGGCCCATATCACACACAGACAATACATTGACACACAGACACAAACTCACAGAGAATCGCAGACTCAATGCATCTGTAAGAATATTTTTATATTCCAACCACTAGATGCTGTTGCATTCACCACCAGGAATAAAGACAGTTAATTGAGTTGCAATAGTAGAGAATCATTGTACCCCTATCCATTACACCACTACTACATAAACACATTCCATTTAACGATTGCTCAACATTGTACCCCTACACTATAAACACAATCCACTGGCAGGGAGAATACAATGATGTTGGCTTCACACCCACAGTGGTAGTTATTTTATGATCCCTAAAAGGTTGTGAGGAATTACACTCACCTACGTTATAATCGAAGCCATGCACTCCAAACCACTGTGCCCACCAAGATGTAGCACTGCGTGTAAGTGATGATGGTGTGATTGTCGTGTGTTGTATCAGACCTCTACGGTGTTCACATTCATCTTTCTCAGGATTCACGACTCAGATCCACAATCGTCACTGAGTCACCAACTTTACCCCACACGTACAGCCCAGGATAAAGGGGTTGAGTGAAGGTTTGGTAAAATGAGTGTAACAGCACCATGGAGTCGATGCTGTAAAATGACAAGAGTCCTGCATCCCAATCCAAATGCACCCCGACTCTCTGCGGAGGCTCTGGCACTGACAGTAAGGTCTCTACCCCGCCATGCCACACTGATAAGCTGTTGTTATATTTCTGTAGACTCCAGGAGACATCACTCCCTCCTAGGAGGTACTCAGGACCACTTCCTCTCTGTGGGATTGTCCCGTATGCGACTGCAATCCGACACAACCATGTGTAATGCGGTTGTAAACGGCCCTTCTGAGGTGCCGTCAGGGGGGGAGGAGTTAGGTCACGTGGGGGGCAGAGGGGTTGAGTATAGAAGGAGGGGAACCGGAAGAGCAAGAGGAGTGACGGGGAGCCAGGAAAAGAGGAAGGCCACGTAGGGCGAAGCGGGGTGTGGCGAGATCGCCACGAACACGGGGGGAGCGAGGATCGGCACCGTTGGCCAGCGGTGACCGACCCGAAGCAGCGAGGAGGCTGCAGTCGGCAGCGGGGCTGCACAGAGAGAGTGGGCAGCGGGTCTGCATACAGTGACAGCCAGAGGGTCTGCACATAGGGGTAGCAGCGAGTCTGCAGGGAGGAGGTTATAGTAGATGAAGCAGAGAGTCAGAGGGGAGAGGAAGCTATAATAGCAGTGAATAGCCGGGGGCTACAAATACAGGAGTTATAACAGAGTGCCGTGTGGGTAAAGACGTGAACCTGAATAAAGACACGAAGACAGAAAGAAGTGTTCGAGTCCTTTTATTACACTGGAGTCAGAAGTGAAACGGCATGGCGAAACAACTGAGGAAGAAGAATATCCCATCTCCGGCGTCGGCTTCATCATCGGACGACGACGATCTTCCTCCTGAGGTCGGCTTCACTTCGGCGGAGGGAGAGATCCGTGAAGGCCCGGGTGTGGAGGAGGTTGCCACTGCGCCCGACCCATCTGCGTTGAAGGACGAAGATTTAAGATGGACCCGGATGGCGGAGCAACTGGCGACCTTAAAAACCGTCATCACGGAGTTGTGTGACCTTGTCACGCCAAGGGCGGCGTTGGAAGGTGATGGTGGTGATCGGCAGGAGCCCGGGTCGTCTTCGATGGCGCCGCCATCGACCACGTGGCGTGAAGACGCCATCTTGGGCGTGGCGCACCACGGAAGGCGGGAAGCCGCCATCTTGGGGCCGCCACGAAGATCGTCCGCCATCTTGGCGACACCGCGTTGCGACGCCTTGCTGAACTTGCCGCCGGAAGAGTCGGTGACGGACGGAAGCAAGCCAAGGAGCCGCAGTCGTCACCTTACAACTGTTAAGGAGTTCTCCATCGGGGGCGATTGGAGTGCGTTCGCTTGTCGATTTTTGGCGGCGGTACGAACGGCAAGGTGGACGGACGCCGAGGCGCTGGAGGTGCTTCCGACTCTCCTTGACGATGAGTCTGTTCGTTTTTTTCGCTCTATAAAAGCTGCAAAGAAGAAAACATTGCGTGGAGTGTTCGACGAAATGGCGGACGCGTACGAGCCACCGGATGACGCCCATCGCCGCTTCGTGCAGCGGCAACGCGCACCGGAGGAGTCGCCTGTAGCGTACAGGGGCGCCGTGCTGGAACTCGCGATGGCCGCTTACCCGGAGACGGAGCCTGACCTGCTGGAACCTCTCATCTTGGGGAAGATGTTGGAGTTATCCCGGGATCTGGGCATTCCTATGCCGGCTTGCGGTCACGAGAAACTCACGTCCCGGACCGCGGCTAAGTGTTTGGACGCCCAGTTCAATCTCCGCCGCTGGAAACAAGTCACGGCGTGGACGGGCGGTCCTGTCGTCGATGGGGGGGCCGTAGGGTGGGACCCTACAAAGGCCGTGTACGTGCCGGATGCGACCGGCCCAAAGGAGCTGTCGGCCGCCTCCACTCCGTGGCCGGCTCGAAGCGAGCCGGGGCCGCGGGCTCCGCCGCCGGCGCGGCCACGTCGGGACGGGGTGCCTGCTGCGCGCCGACCCGACGTCGACTGTTTCCGCTGCGGCCGTCGGGGCCACTATGCCAGGGACTGCTGGGCCCGGGTTCCGGGGCCGCCCCAGCAGGAGGCCTCGATCGCGGACGTCCCAAAGAAAGACCCTCCGGCACAGGCAAGTCGGTGCGCACCAGACACCCGGCAAGGCCTGACACCTCACTCATCGCCGTTGTTGTGCGACGCGGATGTTCTAAAATATGGGAGGCCAGTATCTGCGCCTTGTCGCTCGATAACGCAGTGGCGTAAGTTGGCTCGGCGGGTTGTCGCGGCCGCTACAGGTTCGTCCACTGTACCGGGGTCGATCCAAGGGGTGGACGTGCGTATTTTGGTGGATTCCGGGGCGTCCGCGACCATTATTTCGGATGTCATATTCCATCTTTTGAACATCCCACCGGGGGCCGTGAGGCCGGCTTACGCTTCCTGCATCGCTGCGAACGGGGGTAGTATGGGCATCGTGGGACAGGTGGACGCTAATATTTCTATCGGGGGGGTCTCGGCCTCGGGCGTTGTGTTAATTTCGAGGTCCCTGGCGGTTCCTTGCTTGTTGGGCACGGATTTTTTGGCTAAGATGCCCATTCTAATTAGAATCAATGAAAATTGCATTGAACTACCAGGGGGCCGCAAATTGGCGTTTTTACAGTCCGCCTGGGGGCGACCGGCTCCGGTTGCCCAGGTGCAGGCATTATCGGAAGTTTCAGTTGATATTCCACCTGGCTCGCAGATGCTCATTCCCCTACGATACCGGAAGCCGGTTCCGGGTCGGCAGGGTGCTTGTGGAATTTTGCTGTCGCCGTCCGCCGCTGTTACGGGCGGATTGGCACTGGTGGGGGCGCAAACCATTGTCCGTCCGGATCAACGCCCGTTTTTGCAGGTGTTAAATGCGAGTTCTGAGAGCGTGTGTGTGCCGGCTGGTACCGTTGTGGCACACGCCACTACGGCGTTTACGGCTCAGAGTGACATTCCGGACGGGGGGCTGGTGGGTGGTGTTTCACACGACGGAGGGGTGGACGATCGTTGGATCGCCGAACTATGTGCGGAAAATTCGGCCCTTTCCGCTGAGCAGCGTTGTGCGATTCATAAATTATTAGCGAGCTATTCCGATGTGTTTAGCTCGGACGATTTGGACTTGGGACGCACCTCGCTGCTCTCTCATCACATCGAAACGGGGGACGCGGCCCCTATCCGCTTGAACTCGCGTCGGATGAGTCCGGCTGAGCGTGAGCACGTTCGAGGGGCAGTGGAAGACATGTTGAAAGCGGATATTATATCTCCGTCTAATAGCCCGTGGGGCGCGCCTGTCGTGTTGGTTAAAAAGAAAGATGGTAAATTACGATTTTGTGTGGATTTTCGGAAGTTAAATAAAGTGTCGGTGGCAGATGCGTATCCCCTGCCGCGTATGGACGATTCTCTCGACGCCTTGTCAGGGGCTAAGTTTTTTTCAACGCTAGATCTCTCTTCGGGCTTCTGGCAGCTTCCCCTTGACGAGCCCTCGCGGGAAAAGACAGCGTTCCGTACGCCGCAGGGGTTGTTCCAATTTAACTGTCTGCCGATGGGGTTGAATGCAGCCCCTGCCACCTTTCAGAGATTGATGGAGTTGGTATTGACGGGGTTGCAGTGGGAGACATGTCTCATTTATTTAGATGATATTATTGTCTTCAGCCGCACATTTGATGAGCATTTATTGCGGTTGGAGGCCGTTTTTGCCAGAATGCGTTCTGCTAATTTGAAATTCAAGCCTAAGAAATGTCATCTACTGCAACGTTCCGTTCGATACTTGGGACATATTGTTAGTGCGGACGGGGTGGCCACGGATCCAGAGAAAACTGCGTGTGTCCGGGACTGGGCAACCCCCGCCACGGTGGGTGATGTGCGTCGGTTTTTGGGGTTCGCCTCATATTACCGGAGGTTTGTTCCGAATTTCGCTACTATCGCCAGGCCTTTGCATCTCCTTACTGGGAAGGGGCACAAATTTGTGTGGGGACCGCCGGAGGAGGCGGCGTTTCGGAGCCTGCGCGATCTACTGGCTACTGCGCCGACGTTGGATTATCCGGATTTTGAACATCCCTTCATTCTGGATACGGATGCGAGTGACACCGGGATTGGGGCGGTGTTGTCCCAGTCAAAAGGTGGTGTTGAGCGTGTGGTGGCGTACGGGAGTCGGGTTTTGTCTCCCGCGGAAACTCGTTACTGCGTCACTCGCAGGGAACTTTTGGCTATTGTGTATTTTCTCCGCCAATTTCGACCGTATCTGTACGGTCGGTCGTTTATTGTCCGAACGGACCATGCGGCCTTGCAGTACGCTCTTAAGATGGACCAGCCATCCGGACAATTGGCGAGATGGCTGGACACGTTGCAAGAATTCTCCTTCCAAATTCACCATCGGAAGGGTGTGCGTCACGCTAACGCGGACGCACTGTCCAGGTTGCCGCAACAATCCCCTTGTGCGTGTGCGTCGGGGACGCATAGGTGTGGACCAGCTCAGCCCCCCCCTCAGCCTGTCGCGCGGGCAGTGGATGTTCTCGAACCTCCGCTTACACCGGGACCGGTTGAAGGGGGACCGGCTGACGGGATTTTGCGTCTTCCAAGGTCTGTGTGGATTCGGGAGCAAATGTTGGACGATTCTTTGGTGTCGTTACGGAAACGAACGGAGAGGGCGGGTAAGGAAGTCGGTGCGGGTGGAAATTCGGAAACTGCTCTCCGAGATGGGTTACTGATGTGGAGGGAAGGGATACAGGAACACTGGCGTCTCGTTGTGCCCGCGTCATTGCGCTATGAGCTGATTAGATCTTTGCACTGTGACACACTTTTACACCTGGGGGTGCAGAAAACCCTATTGACGCTGCAACGAGACTATTATTGGCACGGCATGACGACGGATGTCGTCGGTCACGTTCGCGCGTGTCCCGATTGTGCCCGCCGTAAGCCGCCTAAACATCCATATGTTCCGCCGATACAATCGATTAAAGTATCTCGGGTTAATGAGCTGGTGGCGTTAGATATTTTGGGGCCCTTTCCGCCATCAGCTAAAGGGAATAAGTATTTACTGGTGGGGGTGGAGTACCTCTCTCGCTGGCCGATGGCCTGGCCCTTGCCTGACCAGTCAGCGGCGTCTATCACTGACGCCTTTCTATTTGGGTATGTAATGGACAAAGGGGCTCCGGAGAGGCTCCTTACGGATCAGGGACGTAACTTTTCATCTAAATTGTTGGGGGAGGTGTGTGCGGCTCTTGGAACTAAAAAGATACGGACGTCCCCCTACCACCCGCAAACGGATGGTATGGTGGAACGGTTGAATCGGACTCTGTCCGCCATGCTGTGCCATACAGTCGGGGAAAACCAATCTGATTGGGATTTGCATATCCCTGGGGTGCTTTCGGCGTATCGCATGACGCCGCACGCGGCTACTGGATACTCGCCGTTTTTCCTTATGTACGGCCGTGAGAACGTGCCGCCGATTCATGACCAGTTGGGAACCGGTGCGAGGGGGCCTGTTAAGCCTCTTCCTGAGTATATTAAGGACAACGTTCGGCGTGTCGCTGAGGCGAGGGAAAATGCCCGCATGGCTACTGCCAAGGCTCAGGCCAGGAATGAGCGGTGTGCCCGACGTTCAAAGGGGGAGTGTCCCTGGAAAAAGGGGGACCTGGCCTGGCTTCATTGCCCACAGGTGCGGCCAGGTACATCTCCTAAATTACATCGACCTTGGCAGGGTCCGGTCCGCCTCATTGAGGTTCCCAACCCACAGTCGGCGCGTGTTCAGGTTGGTGCACGGCGTTGGTTCGTGCACACGTCCCGGTTGAAGCCATACATTGCCCCACGGCCGGATGCGTCATCTCCCAAAGTTGCCTTGCCGGGGTCTGTTGCTGCCGACTCGCCCTTGCCTGTGTCTGCTGACCTTGCGAGAGCGCCTGTCGTACCCTTCACAGACAAGCCGGCCGTGACAGCGCAGGGAGGAGGACCTTCCGCTTGTGGGACGCCGACCGGAGCCGCAGAACCCACGGGACCTGCAGCTCTTCCTATCCCTCCGCGGACGCGAGTACGGGATGTTTCTGGACGCGAGCGGGACAGTGGCGGGCCTTTAATGGCGACGGAAGAACTTGCGCCCGTCGCCCCTAAAACCCTTCCACGTTCCCGCTCGGCGGGTGGGCCGCCGACCGTCCGGGACGGCCCGGCTACCCGTACTCGCTCGAAATCCCTCACGTTTCGTTAGATTGTGTTGTGTTGTGTTATTGTTATGATGTTCTTCAATGCTTCGTGTCTTTTTGCGTGTTGGCCCTTTACACCCGCATTGCTTTTCAGGTTGCAATTCAGCCGAGGTCGGCTGGATTTTCTTTAAGGGGGAGGGTGATGTAATGCGGTTGTAAACGGCCCTTCTGAGGTGCCGTCAGGGGGGGAGGAGTTAGGTCACGTGGGGGGCAGAGGGGTTGAGTATAGAAGGAGGGGAACCGGAAGAGCAAGAGGAGTGACGGGGAGCCAGGAAAAGAGGAAGGCCACGTAGGGCGAAGCGGGGTGTGGCGAGATCGCCACGAACACGGGGGGAGCGAGGATCGGCACCGTTGGCCAGCGGTGACCGACCCGAAGCAGCGAGGAGGCTGCAGTCGGCAGCGGGGCTGCACAGAGAGAGTGGGCAGCGGGTCTGCATACAGTGACAGCCAGAGGGTCTGCACATAGGGGTAGCAGCGAGTCTGCAGGGAGGAGGTTATAGTAGATGAAGCAGAGAGTCAGAGGGGAGAGGAAGCTATAATAGCAGTGAATAGCCGGGGGCTACAAATACAGGAGTTATAACAGAGTGCCGTGTGGGTAAAGACGTGAACCTGAATAAAGACACGAAGACAGAAAGAAGTGTTCGAGTCCTTTTATTACACATGCACTGCTCCCCACGTCCACCTCCCAGTAGTGCTGACCCGACGAGAAGCTCTCGGAGCACAGAGCTTGTCGATAGACTTCAAATCGGTGTGGGTGATGGGGGCGACCCTGGGAGACACCGCTCCATGTCACTGTTCTGAGATCAGAGGAAATCTGGAGTTCGTTGTGGGCTGAGTTTGTGTCTAGAGTTGGTGAGCATCCATCTGTGGTAATGACAGTGAAGACACGTGCATGCAGTCACAACAATGTGTGTACGATAGCAACACAAGCATTACAATTACCGTGTACAAATGCACATTGTGTACTGTATAATAATTTCTATTATAGTAATTATGCAATAATTCAAATAGTAAATTAATGCACAATGATTATAAAATGTATGACAATATGAATACTAGTATGTGTACTCAAATACTAATGCATACTAGTATATGTGTAGAGGAGTAGTATGGAGACGTGACGTCATATGCGCGGTGAGGTTCGAGGACGTCATGTCAACCTGGGGGTACTTAAGGGGGGCCCCGTGACGAAAGGGGGTTGTTGTGGGAGCCCGGGAAGGAGAGAGGTTCAAGAGATAGCCAGGGATAAGGCTGGGAGAGGGCTGCACGAGCCAGCTAGGGTTAGGCGGGGCGCTGCTCTCCTCGGTCGGGTGGTGTTGGTTAAGCCCTTGTTCAGACTCGAGTGAGAGAGCGAGAGATAGCTGGGCTAGCAGCAGATAGAGCCCGAGGTCCGCGTGAAGGACCCAGTATTGGGAAACCTACCTCTGGTACAGTTATTGCTCCCTTGTGTTAATAAACCGGCGCAAGCCCTTACCTGGAAACCTACCTCCGAGTCGTCGTTCACCACACAACATGTGTATACAAATAAACTCTGCCCCGTGGGTGCCTAATCCACTGGATATCTGAGCTTGCCCCAAGCCTGGATTAACAGGAGGGTCAGGCAAAAGGTTGCTGATACTTCAGCCATGAAGAAAAATATTAAAGTAATCCAATGCACATGACGACCACATAAGAAGGATACCGGCTCAGACGTCACCCGGGTCAACAAGGTCCGCATCCTTGTTGACATCGGCAATAAAGGATAATCAGGAATGGCTGGAAAAGTAATTTAGCGACAGTGAATCCTACGATGGAGTATACAAGACCAGGGAGGTCTACAAACTAGTGAAGAGCACAGATAGGAAATGGCAACCAAGGCAAACAGCGATAAAAGCCAAGAACGGTAAGATCCTGATGGACAAACAAGATACAAAAAATAGATGGACTGAGTATTGCAGTGATCTGAATATGGATACAGATCAAAATAATAAAGAGCTTCTGGATGAATAAGAAAGGATACCCCCACCACTATGGAATGACGAAAAATATAACTTCTGTACAAAGAAGTAGAAAAGGCAATAAAACGTTAAGGAAAGCAAAAGTCCAGGAGTAGAAGGCATAAGTGAAGAAACCATAAAATCTGGTGGTAAGGAACTTATGAAAAACATCCATGATCTGTACAAGCAAATATGGAGAGAAGGGAAAATACTGGAGCAATGTACAAAATCCATATTTGTGGCGATACCCAAGAAAGGAGATCTCACCAATTGTAGAAATTGCAAAACCATTGCACTAATGTGCCACATGGGGAAGATACTAATGACGCTCCTATTTACTTGATTAAAGGCACACACTGAGGACTATTTGGTGGATGAATAGACAGGGTTTAGGAAAGATGTTACGGCTCATACCAGACAGCAAAGAGAAAGAATAGGCTGGTTTTTAATTGTTTCATCGATTTCCAGAAAGCATTGGATTCGACTAAGCAAGATATAACATGGGCAAAATTTACATCAAATGGAGTAAGGAAAAGACTTACAGATTATGCAGGATATAGATGAAAGGTCAAAGACAGTAATAAAGTTTAGACATAAAATAGGACAATGACTCATAATAACAATAGGTATGAGACAGGGAGAGCCACTATCACCAAACAACTTCATTACGTACTTGTAAAGAGTGATCGATACCACTCAGGACAACAGCACAGGAATATATGTGCAAGGAGAAAGAATAAATAACCTGAGATTCGCGGACGTCATAGATTTGATGGTAGAAAGCTGCATCGCACTGCAGGAAAGGGTTCATACACTGAATAGGTCAGAAAAGGATGCTGGCCTGAGGATGAATGTGGAAAAGACAAAGACGAAGGTGTTCAGAGGGGACGATATTGAGAAAGAAGTAATAATAGAAAGCAGAAAAATTGTGACTGTAACGGAATCTGTATACTTGGCAAGTGTGCTGACATGGGTCGACTGCACAAAAGACATAATATCGAGGATCGCAAAGGCAAAATAAGTAATGGCAGAATTCTATAATACCTGGAGAAGCAAGAAAATAAGCTACAAAACCAAACTGAACATCTTCAGAACATGCATGTCCAGTATAACTTTCTACACCTGCGAGACTTGGAAAATCTAAAAATATTGACAGATATAAGATATTGGCACTTCAAATATAATGCTACAGAAGGATACTGCACCGAAGCTCGACTCAGAGAGTCACCAATGTAGAAGAAAAAGGTTGGACATATAAGAATACCTGATATAGACAGTGATGAGAAGGAAACTGACACTATTTGGACACATATGTAGGATGGACAACAGGAAAATTCCAAGTGTGTTCTGAAAAATGATAGAAACAGAGGAAGAGCTAAGAGAGAATGGCTTGACGACGGTATTATAAGAGATTGGTGCTAGAAAGACTTGACCATATTGGTACAAGACAGAAAAAGTGGAAAAAATATACGAAATGGGCAGTGGACACCTACTGGATATCTGCCCATGGAGCATTATGATGATGATGCACACATATATTACCGAGGAATAGTATGTGTACACAAATACTAACGCAGACTAGTGTAATAGGTGACTTGTATGTGGTTCATGTTCATACGTACCCACTACAAAACGCGTGGTCGTCAGTGTCTAAATGAGCGTGACAGGACTGGAACGTGCTTCATTCATGGCTTACAAATTCGCCCTTTTGCTCTCAATCAGGGGCGGTTTCTTCATTAGGGCGATTGGGCGACGCACCACCAATGTCATTCAACCACAGAGTCACGCTAGCCGTCACCGTCAGCCTCTGGATATAGTCCAATCAGCGTCATGTCACGTTCTGTGGAGTACCGCCTCTTTTTGGGCGATTTCACTCTGGCTGACAATCGCCCCGAGTGGCCCCATCTATATATATAAAATCGTTCATGTCTGTCTGTCTGTCTGTGTGTGTGTGTGTGGACTTTGGCCCATACGCACTTTCATTGGACGGCGGTTGCCCCTGGCAACAGCTAGCCACGCCTTCGCCGCTTTCATTGGACCTGGCAACGGCTAGCCACGCCTTCGCCAAGGGCTGCAGTTTCATTGGACGGCGGTTGCCCCTGCCAACGGCTAGCCACGCCTTCGCCACTTTCATAAGCTCCGTATTTAATTAAATAATAGCCATTACACAGTATTGTTGGAGCGCTAGGGGGGGGGGGAAGGAACGCCACCCGTACCCTGCCTCTTCCAAGCCGACAATTTTAGGCGAGGCCGCAGGCTTTGCACGCTACTAGGCCTCGACACCCACCACGCCACTCTGAGGTAAATTCATCAAAGTTTTTCCTACTCTTCACTACACCCCCACCACAATGTGTGCTATTAATATTACTTTTAAACCCAACGCGCCAACAATCGATTACTTTAATGTTCACTGTACAAATACTCATTAAGCTGGGTGAGCGTACTGCCAGTCTATCATGTACACTGTAGCCTGCTTATTAAGCTCGGTGAGCGTACTGCCACTCTATCATGTACACTCTAGCCTGCTTATGAAGCTGAGTGCGTGTACTGGCAGTCTATAATGTGGACTCTTGCCTGGTTATTATAATCGATTCTTTATATGTTCTTTGTACAAACAGTCATTAAGCTGCTTGAGCGACCCCAGTTCGATTCCAAATCACGCCCACCACCGCTGACGATTATTTGAAACGGACCTGGCCCTCCCCTAGGTCCACTCAGCCTCAAAAGCGTAACTGCTGTCGTGTGTGAACATCGTCACTGGGGAGACAAAGGCGGCGGGGCATCGTGGATCCAAGTCCCGGGCGAAGCCGGGTCATGTGTATGTGTGTTTGTGTTTATGTGTATGTCTGTGTGTCTCTATGTATGTGTGTATGTATGTGTATGTATGTGTTTGTGTGTATGTGTGTGTGTATGTATGTGGGTTTTTTTGTATGTCTTTATGTGTATGTCTGCGTGTCTCTATGTATGTGTGTATGTACGTGTGTGCATGTGTTTGTGTGTATGTATGTGTGTGTTTATGTATGTGTGTGTCTATGTATGTGTGTGTATGTGTGTGTATGTATGTGTGTTATGTGTCTGTCTGTGTCTGCATGTATGTGTGTGTGTATTGTGTATGTGTTTGTGTGCATGTATGTGTGTGTTTGTGTGTATGTGTATGTCTGTGTGTATGTGTTTGTGTGTATGTGTGTGTATGTATGTGTGTGTATGTGTTTGTATGTGTTTGTGTGTTTACGCTCGCATTACACAAATGTGTTGCTGGTCTAAGGCGTTCCTCGCACAGCATTGCCGCTTTATTATTTCAGTCGTTTACTGCCTTACGCACCCTGAAAGTCGTGTGTGTCTGCAGCAAGCGCGTGTATGTGTACCTATGGACGCGCGCGCGTGTGTTGTGTAGGGGGAACGGTAGTGTAGTGCTTAGCGTGCTGTCTGTGTCTGTGTGTGTGTCTGTGTGTGTGTGTGTGCGTGTGTGGTGTGTGGGGAGCGGTAGTGTAGTGCTTAGCGTGCTGTCTGTGTGTCTGTGTGTGTGTGTGTCTGTCTGTGTCTGTCTGTGTGTGTCTGCGTGTGTGTCTGTGCGTGTGTGGTGTGTGAGGAGCGGTGGGTGTAGTGCTTAACGCTACGCTGCGCTACCAACCCGGCGAACCGAGTTCGATTCCCGCTCACGGCCACCACCGGTGACGATTATTTGAACCTCCCCTAGGTCGACTCAGCCTCAAACGAGTAACTGGTGTGGCGTATTAACATCGGCACTTGGGAGACAAAGGCGGCCGGGCGTGGTGGATCCAAGTCCCGGGCGAAGCCGGGTCATGTGTATGTGTTTATGTGTATGTCTGTGTGTCTGTATGTGTGTATGTACTTGTGTGTATGTGTTTGTGTGTATGTATGTGTGTGTGTATGTATGTGTGTGTATGTGTTTCTGTGTATGTATGTGTGTGTATGTATGTGTGTTATGTGTGTCTCTGTGTGTCTGCATGTATGTCTGTGTGTATTGTGTATGTGTTTGTGTGTATGTATGTGTGTGTTTGTGTGTATGTGTATGTCTGTGTGTATGTATGTGTGTGTATGTGTGTGTATGTGTTTGTGTGTATGTGTGTGTATGTATGTGTGTGTATGTGTTTGTATGTGTTTGTGTGTTTACGCTCGCATTACACAAATGTGTTGCAGGTCTAAGGCGTTCCTCGCGCAGCATTGCCGCTTTATTATTGCAGTCGTTTACTGCCGTGCGCACCCTGAAAGTCGTGTGTGTCTGCAGCAAGCGCGTGTATGTGTACCTATGGACGCGCGCGCGTGTGTTGTGTAGGGGGAACGGTAGTGTAGTGCTTAGCGTGCTGTCTGTGTCTGTGTGTGTGTGTCTGTGTGTGTGTCTGTGTGTGTGCGTGTGTGGTGTGTGGGGAGCGATAGTGTAGTGCTTAGCGTGCTGTCTGTGTGTCTGTGTGTGTGTGTGTCTGTCTGTGTCTGTCTGTGTGTTTCTGCGTGTGTCTGTGTGTGTGTCTGTGTGTGTGTCTGTGCGTCTGTGTGTGTGAGGAGCGGTGGGTGTAGTGCTTAACGCTACGCTGCGCTACCAACCCGGCGAACCGAGTTCGATTCCCGCTCACGGCCACCACCGGTGACGATTATTTTAACCTCCCCTAGGTCGACTCGGCCTCAAACGAGTAACTGGTGTTGCGTATTAACATCGGCACTGGGGAGACAAAGGCGGCCGGGCGTGGTGGATCCAAGTCCCGGGCGAAGCCGGGTCATGTGTATGTGTGTATGTGTTTATGTGTATGTCTGTGTGTCTGTATGCATGTGTGTATGTATGTGTGTGCATGTGTTTGTGTGTATGTATGTGTGTGTCTATGTATGTGTGTGTATGTGTTTCTGTGTATGTATGTGTGTGTATGTATGTGTGTTATGTGTCTGTCTGTGTGTCTGCATGTATGTGTGTGTGTATTGTGTATGTGTTTGTGTGTGTTTGTGTGTTTACGCTCGCATTACACAAATGTGTAATGCGGGTCTAAGGCGTTCCTTACACAGCATTGCCGCTTTATTATTTCAGTCGTTTACTGCCGTACGCACCCTGAAAGTCGTGTGTGTCTGCAGCAAGCGCGTGTATGTGTACCTATGGACGCGCGCGCCTGTGTTGTGTAGGGGGAACGGTAGTGTAGTGCTTAGCGTGCTGCCTGTGTCTGTGTGTGTGTGTCTGTGTGTGTGTGTCTGTGTGTGTGTCTGTGTGTGTGTCTGTGTGTGTGCGTGTGTGGTGTGTGGGGAGCGGTAGTGTAGTGGTTAGCGTGCTGTCTGTGTGTGTGTGTGTCTCTGTCTGTGTGTGTCTGCGTGTGTCTGTGTGTGTGTCTGTGTGTGTGTCTGTGCGTGTGTGGTGTGTGAGGAGCGGTGGGTGTAGTGCTTAACGCTACGCTGCGCTACCAACCCGGCGAACCCAGTTCGATTCCCGCTCACGGCCACCACCGGTGACGATTATTTGAACCTCCCCTAGGTCGACTCTGCCTCAAACGAGTAACTGCTGTAGCGTATTAACATCGCCACTGGGGAGACAAAGGCGGCCGGCCGTGGTGGATACAAGTCCCGGGCGAAGCCGGGTAGTACAGCTAGTAGACTTACATTCAAAGATGTTTTTTTTCGAACGGGGGCGCTGCAATGCATTCTCTATGGCTTCCGGGAGGGCTCGCCCTAACGTGCTTACGTCATCATACGTGCTAACGTCATCATACGTAAGCACGTTTCATCCAACAATATAATTTATCGCCACCTAGTGGAATCTTTAATAAAATAAACTTGAGTGGTTTGTTTTAATAGTGAGTATATAAACAAACAAGATGTATTGTAAGAGTCACTTTATTTTTCATTAATATTAAAGAAGTGAAGTTGCCTTTACATGCTTAAGCTGTTAATTTATTCATTGCATGGGTGGACCTTATCCTTATCAATCATCCAGACATTTGCCCCCCCTGAGAGATTTTGCAGGAGCCGCCACTGCTCCCAATAAACATATTTTCACATTGTTGTTTGCAACTCTTGATAAATGAGACCCTTCGTGTTATTGACTATTTTTTGTCCAGCACCTTTGTGCCTGTTTCATGAACTGAATCTATGCAGGTCCCCCTTGCAAAAGGGACAAGCTGCATTAATGCACTCAAGCCTGGGTAAAATAAAGGACACCCTGCACACGAGTAGGATTTGTAGGCAATCCAGTGTCTGTAATGGAGTCTAACGAAGGCCAATGTGGCAGAGGTACGTACCGAGAAAAGGCAGAAGCTTCGTTTGGACGCCTCCCACTGAGATGGATTTTGCGAGGTTCAGACAGCTGGAGATGGGGGCTGGGTCATCCTGAGACTCCTGAGAGACTGAGCTCCTGTACTCACAGCACGGGACACACAGAGTCTGAGGGTCTATTTCTCTACAAAGACAAATATCCCCAGTATAGCCTTAACAGACTGTTGATTGACAGTTAATTAAGAGATTAACTAATTACCTTTGCTTCAAAAGGTAACAAATAAAATATACAGGGCATCCCCGATATACGTCGGGGCTAGGGACTGGAAAGTTGCGACTTATAACGAAACGTTGTATAACGAGAACTTTTCCCCCAGAGGAATGCAAATGGGGGAAGGGAGGGTAGGGACCTATGCGATGCAAAGCAGAGCATTTTTTCCCGTAAAGAAACAATGGAATAAGGTAGGGAAAGGATCATAACTTAGGGAAATGTTGTGTTTCGTAACTAGCAACTAAAATACCTACATTACATGGGACAAATCCAGGTACTGTGCATGTACTACACCGTACAACAAAATGTACACATTTCTAACCAATTCTGAGTTCAAGAACTTTTAAACATCATTTACACTTATCAAACATTTAATTGAACACCATTTAACGAGCATTGCGAAGAAGCCCTGTATACATACTCTTAGTTCTTTCGGTAAAGTCACGTAGGTAAAAAATTAAATTAAAATGAATAAAAATAAAACAATAAAAATCACGACGTTTTTTTTATTGTATTATTTTTATTAATTTTAATTTCATTTTTTACCTACGTGACTTTACCGAAAGAACTAAGAGTATGAATCCTTGCAGTCACGAAAGCTTCAAATCTAGCCCTGTATACGTTAAAGCATTTTCCCTTTTTTAATAGAAAACGTATGTGAAATTTATAAGCAATGACTCAAACAGAAAAAAAAATTGTGGAAAAGAGCACAGAATCTTAAACAGCATTTTAAAAAATGATTTCCTTTAACCTATAATTAAAAAAATCTTACTTTGAGGAGTGGATAAGTTGTGCGACGATATTTTGCGAAAGTCCACGCCGATTACAATGAGCACTCGCAACGCACGCGAGAGTACACGATGGGACTGAGAACAAGGCGGCGCATGCGCGAGTTTTACAGTCCCCCCCTCCTCCCAGAGTAGAGTTCAGCTGAGCCGAGTCAAAAAACAATTAACCCGTAAAAACAAAGTTTTTCACTATAAATCCTTTATATGCGTGGCATCGGTTTCATTTCATTATTCATTTCTGTTTTTCTTGAGTAAGCAAGCAAGCAAGTGAAGTTAATATAAAGGATTTAAAAATAAAAGATCACCTTTTGACATGCCCCGTATATTCCCGAGGGCACTAGCGTTGACCCGTTTTACCACTTTCAAGAACTTGGCGGCTTCAATTTAACTGCTCTATAAATAGTCTCCATTGTACAGCGTGGGGGCAGGGATTTCCTGCCATGTGGTTAGTCAACATTTGCGTCATCATGAAACTGGCGGCTACAGTCCTCTCGTCCTCTGGCTTGAGATGGCTGCCACCTATGGGTCAGATGATTGTCTGCCACAATTAAGCAATTGGTAATTAAATATTTTAAAAAAAAATCCCTAAACAGTGTAAAATTTTGGAAACATTTTTTACGAAAATTAATTGTCACGCACAACGAGTCTGTGTGTAAAATGTCAGCTCGATTGGATCACGGGAAGTGGGTTAAAAAACGACCGAAAGATTTGCACGGTCCTAAGCAAGCAAGCAAGCACGCAAGCACGCAAGCAAGTGAACTTAATATAAAGGATTTAATAAAAAAACATAATCGTCGTCACTAGTTGTTGGTCGTGAGCAGGAATTGATCTCAGATCGCCGGGCTCGTAGAGCGGCGTGCTAACTGCTATGCACCTGAGTCAAAACGACGTATGTGCGGGGACATTTTACGTTGTATTTCTCAAGTCGGTGACGTGAGTGTGAAACAACATATATCGGGACGACCTGTACAGGCTGCATACAATGGCATTTATTCGGAAGCACATCACGACCATTCACTGATTTGTCCACCAGGTGGCAGACAGAGCTCCAGTTTGAGTCTGGGTTGGTACTGACCTGAAATTCTCATGCACGGGATTCTAAAAAACACAAACCCACAATTTACATTACATTGACATCCTAAACAGATACCCCATCACGAAATGATCAAATAACTGCAAATGGAGAATGGTGAAAAACAGAGTTTGTTTTACTGGACACGGGCGGACCTCTACAAATGATAAAACCACTCGTTACAAGTCTAGCACCTAAATTCATGGTTAGATAATGTTTAACAACTGACATATTGTAGTTTTGACTATGGTGAGGTTGAATTGAACAAGTCCAAATCTGATTGTCACATGGAAACAAACTTACGTCTATTTCTGGACACCACATATTCCACCCAGATCAAAAAACTTTCAAATTAAACTGCCTACAATGTTAACGTCTCGCAGTATGGTGACCCTTTTCTGGTTGTAGATGAACCCTCTGATAAACCAAGGCCGTGAGTGAATGGAAGTCGGGCCACCTGTAGGAAGGAAAGTGGGTCCTGCACGGTGAGGGCGGCGAGCAGCTGGTTGATCTCCTGCTCCAGATCCTGTGCTCTGCTCTCATAGCGAGCGATGGTCGCCTGGATGCGGGACAGCACGGAGCGGCCCTCCTCGTCCACGCGCTCCAGCGCCTCCCTCTCCTCCTCCCTCAGCTGCTCCCTCCTGCACTTAAATTCTCTGTTGATCCGCTCTTTGGTTCCATTCAGTGACTCCTATGCAGAGATACCATGATGCGCTTTGAAACAGAACACAACACAGTGCGATGTGACTTCATAAAGAACCTCGATACAGCCATGTCTCCTAACTTCATACAGAGAAGCAGGTGACATTTTTTTTAGAACGTGGGGGAATTCAATGCATGAAAGGGGATTCAAAGAAATTATTCATAGGCAGTCTTAAGCCAATGTCTCTCTGTGTCCATAATATAGGGTTTTCTTTGGGTTAGATCGTGTAAATGTAAATATTTCGTTAAACCCGCCATCACCCGACCAGTCAAACGTCATACCCAAGTTGTAATTTTTTTGGGTGTACTCTCTAACATACCGATGTGCTGAACTAGTAACTAATTGGCATTTTTTGTTTACGTGACAAACCTTACTAATTGGCTGGAAAATATTGGTTGCAAAAGCCTACTACATGTTACACTGTCTCTCTGTGTATCTGTATTGTTTGTGTCTCTGTTTGTATCTGCATGCGTCTGTGTATCTCTGTATCTACGTGTCGTTAGGTTTCTGTACCTACACAAGTATGTGCCTCTATACTTGCATGAGTCTGTGTGTGTCTCTCTCTCTCTCTGTGCCTGCACGTGTCTGTGTATCTTTCTGTATCTGCACCTGTCTATTTGTACCTGTAGGTGTCTGTATCTCTGTGTATACCTGCCTCTGTAACTACAATACCTGCCTCTCTACCTGCGCGTCTGTGTCTCTGTACATGCAGGTGTCTGTGTGTATTTCTGTACCTGCACACGCTTGTAGGCGCCCTTGAGCTGTTGTGTCCGTGATTCTGCTGTAGTCTTCTTCTCCTCTCTCATCGTCTTCTCGAGTCTAAACACCTCCTTTACATGGGGGAGATAAACACGCAATGTTTAGTATTACCATCATTATCATCATCTGGCACATGTCTTTAAACCAAAGCCTTGTAGGCAGGTTTCCTGGATCGCCCAGAGATAATCATCGCTCTTTTGAAACGTCCAACCTCTCAGGCTGCGAGGTGGTCTTTAGGAGGCATCACAACAGTCGTGTCTCAAGTAGGTGGCTGGATCACAGCGTGGTTTATTAAGGGGTGCCAACTCGCATGCTCGTGTTTTCTCCAGTTTTTCCCCAATAATGTAATCTCGGGTAACCAATAACCATAACCCCCAATATATCTACAGCACACACGTTGCATGAAAGTGCGGCAAACACGAAAACTTAAATCCTAAATCTTTAAGGAAACCAACATAAGTTCAAGAGTGGTATCAGGAGTACAGACAGCTTTGATGCTGGCAGGGCTGCTGCTTGGGTGTGTTCGGACAAGTAGGACAGGACTCAGGGTAGGGAGAGCCATGTGATGATGTTCATAGCACAGTGCTCTAACCACTACACCACCGCTGTCCAATGCAGGAACAACCACACCCTCATGCACAGGTTAAACATCTATCTTCTTCTTTCTATATATAAAAGTAAAAAATTGTGTGTGGGTTTTTGTGTGGTCGCGAGCTTGGATTTCCAACGGTGGGGTTTACATGAAAAAAAAATTACCAGGTACCTCGCCGTAAGCCCCGCGGTGAGCAAGCCCTATTCCTTTTTCACATCCGTAAACTTAAAATTAGTGTAATTACCGATTTTGTGCGATTTTTGTGCGCTTCCCTTTTATTTATTTATTTATTACGCCTGCACGACCATACCAACTCACGCGCCTTTGGTGGGTCGGATAGTCCATTCCAAGTCGCACGCCTTCGGTGGCAGTGAGGGGGACATTTTCTTTTGCGTTAAAAATGCTATAAAAATACACTAAACGTTGACATTAATTCTTCACTGTGTGATGTCCCCCCCACCCGATGCGTGTAGTTATTACTACTATACAGTCGCTAGATGCTACCAATATAGGCCGTAGATATTACTGCAGAGCGGCCGGCGAGATTGTGGCTGGGGGGGGGGGGGGTAGCAGCCCAGCCCCAGCCTGCCAAGGTGCCACCTCAGCCGGCTGGACAATCTAGGCGAGACTGGAGGCTCTGTACGGGACTCAGCCTCACCACGCCATTCTGTCAGGTGAGTACTTTGTGTTATACAGTCGATAAATACTGCTATTGAGTCATTCTGTACTACTGTAGTGATAGCAGGTACCACCACCGTCGGTATGCACTGGTGCAATCATAGCAGGTACCACCACAGTCAGTATGCACTGCTGTAATCATAGCAGGTACCACCACAGTCGATATGCACTGCTGTAATCATAGCAGGTACCACCACAGTATGCACTGCTGTAATCATAGCAGGTACCACCACAGTCAGTACGCACTGCTGTTAGATCTTTAAGAGTAGTTTTGAAATATTTTTAAGACCCAAGCAACGCCGGGTACTTCCCGCTAGTATTTTATAAATGGAGTGTATGTGGTACGAGTATTTCTAAGAATATCGATACGAATAAATATATTCAGAATAATATTGTCAGCAACAGGAAACCCAATAACGTCAATATTAACACTATAATCGGATAACGATATAAGGAATATTACCAGCAACAACGCAAACAGCAACCACAAACATATTCATAATAATGGCGATGATTATTGACGTGAATATCCTTTATTGGGATGTTTAACTTAACTTTCTGTAAAATTAAACCCAAGTGCTCAGATTTCACAATGCAATCTGTACCCATGTGATTGCCTCTGGCAGAGCTTGGCATTGGCAGGAGTAAGTGCTCTATACATGAAACTTCCGACGCCAAGTCCCACCCAGTCTGCAGGCTATGTGGCCTTAATCCCGCACTGTGTTGCTCCATTTCACCTGTCAATAACCTGACGGCTAAACACTCTGGTGGTTGGCCAAGCTTCACCGTGGCAACGTTCAACCACAAGCCAATGTTCTGTCAAAGAATGGAACACACAGCGTCTATATTAGCGGCAAGTTGTAATTTTCAACACAAATCTAAATCTGCTATATCGACAATCAATCCTGTCTGACGGCCTTGTTTCTCGCACTGAAATGGTCTTCCATTTGCCTTTTTTAAGTCCAAGGTCAAAGCACTTTTGAAGAATCTCAAATTACTCCAAATTTCTCTCCACCTATCATTGATAATCACATGTACAAATCTTATCATGTGAATTGCATTTTACATCGCTGATACCCATGCCACGAAGTGCTTTGTCTTTTAAATAAAGCAGGTAATACCCTGCTTTTACATCCATTCAAATCAACATTCTCATCTTCCGTGTCTCTGCTCTCTATTGTGTGCCAGTTTTACAATCCGTATTGCCCACATTGAATTGATTGAACGTCACAATACTGGCAAAATATGAGTTCCCTCATAATAAAATATGAGTTACCTCATAATATGTAAATCTAAATGATTATATACAGACTTTCGCACTTAATATACACCGAGAATGCTGTAGTCACACTGTAGGATATTGGGTTACAGCAGCGATTTATATCTCACCTGTTTTGACCATTGAGCATTTTCCACTGCAATGACCTCATGCCCTCTATGTTCCCCAGCCATGGTGCAAAATGTGCAGACCAGGCTCTCATCCTGTTGACAGTAAAGAATGAGCTCCTGTCTGTGCTGCCGGCACCGTCGTTCCCCCAGGTTCGCGATGGGATCCACCAGGAGGTGGTCTCTTAGCCTGGGATTCTCCACGTGTGGCCTCAAGTGCGTCGCACAGTAAGACATCTCACATCTCAAGCAGGTCCTCACTGCAGGAGTCTGGCCGTTTCTGCAGTGGTCACACACGACGCCCGTGGTCATCACATCTTCAGCTCTGAGCTGCTCTGCCAGGTTGGCGAGGGCCACGTTCCGCCTCAGCTGGGGTCGGACAGGGAAGGCTGCTCGACACTGCGGGCAGCGGAAGCTGCTCGCTGTCTCCCAGGCGGCCTCCAGACACTGGATGCAGTACGAGTGTCCACAGCTCAGCGTGGAAGGGCAGACGAACGTGTCCAGGCAGATGGAGCAGCTCAGCTCACTATCCACACTCTCACTGGGAGTCGCACTTGCCATGAGTTATGTGCTTCACTCGGATCACTCGCTGTGTGGTTCAGATAGACGCTGGACCAGGAACTCTTATAGCGAGAGTAAAGGAGGAAGTAAAAAACCTTAAATGCTTTCAATGTTATTGGCATCACGAGACACGCCCTAGAATGTTAGACTGTGCCCTAGATAAACAAATACTGTACGTCAAGTTGTACACGGATACTGTACACACTTCTCTAGATTCAGCTTAAAATGAACATTTATCTAAAGAATATATTCCTTTAAAAAAACACTGATCTAAATAATAGAGCTTTTTTGTTAATACAAATCAGAGACTCAACCGCGATGGCTCTGTTGTGAGATGATTATTGAGAGATAATCCCATTCTTCCACAGCTTAGAGCATAGGCGTCTGTGCAATTACCACTGGACTATGAACCCGGCAGAGATGCGAGTTTTATTCCTGCTCACGGTTGCCACCAACACCACCACGAGTGGTTGCGATTATTTGAACCGGTCCTGGGCCTTCTCCCCTAGGTCGACTAAGCCTCAAAGGAATACCTAGTGCAGTGTGTAGTAAACATCGCGACTGAGGAGAAAAAGGCGGCCGGGCATTGTGCTGGTCACCCACCCCCTCGTGTGCCCTGGCGGCCTTCATGGTCGCTGCTGCTCACTAATAAAACTTGCTCCAACAGTCTGCTAATATTATACGGGGGCTCTTTGTGTAATCTGTCTTCGTATACGGTGGACCCTTGAATTTCGCAGTTTTATCGTTCGCGGTTTAGATCTATCGTGGGCAATATTTTAATGTACTAATTTAGCTATCGCGGAGGTTAGCTCTTTGGCCTTTCACGGCTATACTCTACACGTAAGTACTGTATTATTTTTCGATTATTATTGACTGATATCGTGGTGAAGGGCGGGCAATGGATGCAAGACAGTCAGTGGCACCTCAACCTTTGCCGTTGCAAGCATCTGGCGGACAAAGACAAAGACCCCCAGTAACACTTGGGACAAGCGCTGTTAACGATGACCTCTGAAGGCCTGCACGGCACACGAGGGGGTGGCGATGTCTACACAATTCACCAGGAAATTATTTTATGGTGAATCAACCTAGCGGAGGCCCTTGACAAGTTCAGATAATCGTAACTATTGTTGGCCGCGAATCGAACTCTGGTCACTGGGTTCCTAGCGCGACGCGCTAACGACTATACCACCACTCCCCATTTCAGGAACAACCACACACTCGTACACAGTTTCAACATATTTCCAGTAATTTAGGGTATGTGATATCGTACTCGTAATGCAAAGAATATTGCTACAATTATTTTTGCAGTCCAACATTGGCAGTAGCAGGAAACACAATCATGTTCATATTAACACTATAATCATATAATTATAACAGTAATATTACCAGCAACAACAAGCATGTCCATAATCATGATGATTGACAAAATACCCCTGAAAAGCCTCAACATACTGTTGCCGGCATGGCACACGAGGGGGTGGGTGGCAATGTTTACACATCGCACCAGGTATTCATGTAAGGCTGAGACGACCTAGGAGAGGCCCATGACCAGTTCAGATAATCATTACTGGTGTTGTTGGCCATGACCGGGAATCGAACTTGGCTCGCCAGGTTGGCAGAGCAGCGCGCTAACCGCTGCACCACTCCTCCCCACTCGCGGACAAGCACACACTCTGTATATGCTCAATGGCGTGTGCGTGAACTGTCCACCGCAGTTGCCGCTGCTGGACATCAGTCGGCGCTATCTCACTACAAATGAAAAGCCTCTGTGTGTGTCTCTGTGGGTAGTAATGTCTATACTTCTTTGTGTCTCTAGTCTGTGTGAGACTCTCTGTGTAGTACAGTACTGGATATGGTTATGTGTGTCTAGTCTGTGTGTACAGCCTCTGTGTGTGTCTCTAATCTGTGTCTCTATACTCTTTGGTTCTTTCGGTAAAGTCACATAGGTATAAAATAAAATAAATCACGACGTTTCGGGCACAACACAATCGTCTGTCATCAGGTGGGAAAGCATGGTCTGCTGCTGAGGCAAACTGTTTTAAAAGGTTTGAAATGGGTGTAACCCAAGGGTCATAAAAAAGTGGCCGGGGCTAGTGATGTTAATGTGAGAAATTAACATGTAACTGTAAGATAGGAAAACGGCCTCCTTGATGAGGGCACGGAAGTGGCTATGTTAATGTGAGAGATTAGCATGATGTCAATGTGAGAAATTAGCATGTAACTGTAAGATAGGAGGAGAGCGGCCTCCTCGACGAGGGAGTGCAACCAAATGGGTGCAATCCAAAGGACATGTGAGCATGAGAGATCTAAGAGAGAGGCATAGACAGAGAGATACAGAGAGTCAGAAATAACAACTGACATAGGCAGGTCGGATGGAAACATCACAGTCAGTTAAGACTTTACCTGGTTAATAACGTCCTTCCAATTGTAATATGAGGATGCACCTGGGGGTAACTGGGCGATGGTGATAGGCTCTGCCGGCCTCAGCCCGCAGCCAATGGACGTCGAGTCAAGGGCGTAGCCCTGGGGCTGTATAGCAACATCAAGAAGGTTCCATGGGAGAGGCTTATGATTGGCTGCGTGGCATCACGTGAGCCAGGTGATATAAGGGGTGGAGAGAGACAGTTTGGGGTCAGTGTGAAGAGCTTGAAGGAGAGACTACGTCTTGTGCCTCCGGCACGCCAGCGGCCACGTGGCCGGCCGGAGGCTGTCTCCCGAACGCCGTTAGGCAGCGGTGTGAGGGGGCGAGGGAAGCGAGCGAACGCCACGCTCGGAAGGGATAACGGGAGTAACGGGAAAAGGAACCCAGTGTGAGAGAGAGCTGTGAATGGGGAAAAGAAACGAATAAAGAAATGACAAGAGAATACGATATCGTCCGGAGTGGGTTTATTACACAATGATTGCTCAATTTCGATTTAAAGCTTTCGTGACTGCAGGGATTCATCTTCTTGTTTCTTTCGGTAAAGTCACGTAGAAGGGAAGTAATAAAATAATAAAAATAAAACATAATAAAACAATTCTCACGACGTTTCGGCTACAACGCAAGCAGCCGTCTTCAGGTGAAGAATGAGACACTACCAAACTAGGAGCTTATATATAAGCTGCATTGGGGGTTGAAGAGCGCCTTAACAAAAAGAATGTGCATGTGAAGAGGAATTTAGCATATTCATGGAAAATGCGTAGGCGTTGGGCGGGGGGGTGTCAAAGTCATATTATGCCCATGCATTATGCAGGATCAGCAGCAACCAAGGGGGGTGCAGGGATTAGCAGTAACAAAGGAAAGGAATGTTAATGATATGTAGCTGCAGTTACTCAACAACCACGTAGAAAACTAAAGTATAAACTACATAAAAAACTAAAGTATAAACTGCATCGCACCATCAGTATACTTACTATACTCTATAATAAGCTGAGTTACTAACAGCAAATAATACATTACAATTCTACCTCGTAAAAATTCTATAATATGCTTCCATCTAAACCTTATTCTCTTACATCACACGAGCATATACCGTACTATATACTGCCATAGATAAACCCAACATTAAATTATATACTGTATTGCTGTAAACCAACCTATATCTTATACATTTAATATAACACTATGTATTATTCTACACACCCTAATGTGTATCGAAATGGTTTATTACGTCCTTCCAATGATTGCTGAGCCAGAATCCATCTTCTCGGTTAAAATTGTCTCTGTGTTTGTATATGTGGATCGCCTCATGAACGAATCTCTCATGATAGCCAGATGGCTTGCAGAGAACCTCTGTCTTGGAGAAGTCAATATCATGTGAGCCCACTGAGTTGTAACAGTGATCTGCCACGGCTGAGGTGTTTGTCCTACCGTGTTTCAGGTCAGCTTTATGTTCACAGTATATAATTTAATGTTGGGTTTATCTATGGCAGTATATAGTACGGTATATGCTCGTGTGATGTAAGAGAATAAGGTTTAGATGGAAGCATATTATAGAATTTTTACGAGGTAGAATTGTAATGTATTATTTGCTGTTAGTAACTCAGCTTATTATAGAGTATAGTAAGTATACTGATGGTGCGATGCAGTTTATACTTTAGTTTTTTATGTAGTTTATACTTTAGTTTTCTACGTGGTTGTTGAGTAACTGCAGCTACATATCATTAACATTCCTTTCCTTTGTTACTGCTAATCCCTGCACCCCCCTTGGTTGCTGCTGATCCTGCATAATGCATGGGCATAATATGACTTTGACACCCCCCCGCCCAACGCCTACGCATTTTCCATGAATATGCTAAATTCCTCTTCACATGCACATTCTTTTTGTTAAGGCGCTCTTCAACCCCCAATGCAGCTTATATATAAGCTCCTAGTTTGGTAGTGTCTCATTCTTCACCTGAAGACGGCTGCTTGCGTTGTAGCCGAAACGTCGTGAGAATTGTTTTATTATGTTTTATTTTTATTATTTTATTACTTCCCTTCTACGTGACTTTACCGAAAGAAACAAGAAGATGAATCCCTGCAGTCACGAAAGCTTTAAATCGAAATTTAACCGCCTCTACGGGGAGGGTTTCCACATAACTTTGAGATCCTTCAACAAGCTCCGGGATAAGAAGGCTCAGCTAATCGAGTCTCTCACCTTTCTGAAGAGATGCCGCGACTCTAAGGTAATACCAAACGCATTTACACTAACATCTGCTGCTGTAACTTCTTCTAATGCGAAACGAATTCTGTCTAGAACTAGCTTAGCTCTTATCTCAGAGAAAATCAGACTTACGCGCACCGAACTAGATCAGTTAGACAAGACACTCTACAAATCACACTTATCTTTGAGTGTAACAATGTCCACATCGGATTGGGAACATGTGGAAAAAATGACTGCCTCTTCAGCTGCCGCTATGTCGACTAAATGTAAGGACAACTTGATTTCCAAATTCAATCGCCTCTCAAACAAGAAACCGGACCCACACATTGAAAAGCTAGATATTAACAAAGTCGTAATTAATCGCAGTAACAGTCCTATTTCTGAAGGTTTGAAATCCGTTTTAGCTAAAGGACTAAACTTTGCAGTCACACCTAGACACATACCAGTTAATGATATAATTGCTCGAGTAGATGTAGCTCTCAAGGGCTTGAGTCACATCGCTGCAGACGTAGCAATATCTGAAATCTCTGTAACCCTCAAAAACGCTAAGATGCCAGCTAGCAACATCAGCAAAGAGGAGCGTTTTGAATTAGCTCAATTAAAAAAGAGGGATGACATTGTCATCCTCTCAGCCGACAAAGGCAATGCCACTGTCATCATGGACAAAATAGAATACAACAACAAAATTCAAGAACTATTAAACGATGGCAGCTATACAAAAATAAAAAGAGACCCCACCAACAGCCTCGTCTCCAAAACCAACAACATCATTTCTGCTTCAACCGCATTAATTGATCAGACCAAACAGTTCTCGTTGAAACCTTCTGCAGCCAGACCACCAAGATTGTACGGCTTGCCAAAGATACATAAAGAAGATACACCTCTTCGTCCCATTGTCTCTACTATCAACTCCCCCACTTACAAACTGGCTCGTTTTTTGTCCGAAATCCTACGGCCTTTCACTGGAAAAACCACCTCTGCAGTACTAAACTCTACTGACCTGGTATCGACAATCAAGGGGATTGCCCTGTCCCCAGACGACCTGCTTGTCAGTTTTGAT